AGTTTAGACATATCAAAACTTTCCTCCGAATGGCACGTGTTGAATGATCGAAAATGGTTGGTGACTTGCTTGTTTTTAGATCTATCAACGAGTGCTTGAACTAAAATGTCGGTAAAACAGGGGTTGGCGCGTATATTATTTGAAATTTCAGCTTGTATTTTATTTCTCAATTTTCTCCGTTATTACATTGATTTGAGAATTGGTTTCAAGGTAATTGTATTTGATTATTAATAGAGTATTTGAAAAAATCATATTACATTTTTTATAATCGTTTAAACTTTTATTTTTATTATTATCAAAGTTACATTATTTATATTGGCGTCAGCAACTGCTCTGATTTATTTCAAAAACGTCTACAAAATCTTAGCTCTCTAATTTGTATAGTTTTCAAATTTATTAGAAAATAAAATGAAACGCAATTAAACTGTCACCTTAACAGGATCTTCCTTTATTAATGGAGTTGTTTTTTTTTGTAATTGCTTTATTAGTTTATCTCTGATTTTGATAGAATTGATTAAGCCATTTGTTATCCAACGTTTTATCTTTTTATGATTTTACATGATTCAATACTATCGAGATATTTGTCATAGAAATGTTGTGTTGCTATTATGTTATTTTTATTGAGAACACTTTCCCATGTTAAAGCTTCAAATTTAGAAATTAGTTTGTCAGTATCAATTTTAGTTATAGTTGTATAGGTAGTTTGAGATTTTGTTTTATTTATTGAAAAAGGTTTTGAAATATTTATCATAACCGGATCATGATCGGTCAAATCTTAGTTTATCACATAAGTTGAATTTTAATTTTTCGGTTTTAATATTGTTTCTTAAAAATATGTGATCCAAACAGGTTTTACTCTGAACCCGCGTGATTGTATGTATATTAAGACAACAAGCCATTTGAGTGAAGAGTTGCTTCGTAATTATTTGTGATATGATTTTTTCCGTCCAGGAGATCGATATTAATGTCTCCTATAAACATTTCAATGCATTTGTTTAGGAGAGGGGGATCTAATTTTCTATGTCTCGAATAAATGTATCTGCCGAAGTTTGAGGATACCTATATAAAGCACTAATGCCAATAGTTGTGTGATTTGCTGTTATGTTTATTTTAGTAATGCAAATACCTGAAAGTTCGAGCTTTATTGTGTTTATTTCTGCATTTAAATTTGATTTGATTTGGCTAAAACTATGACACCATCATTTCTATTAATATTACTGTTGTTGAAGTGTATGTTGTAACCCTGTAGATTAAACTGTGAGGTAGATTCTAATTGAAAACACTCTGATAATATAATTACCTCACAAAATTTTATATCATAACTTTCTAGGAATAAGATCAACTCATCAAAATTCTTTTTAATACTTCTGATGTTGAGATGCATGACATTAAGGATTTTTTCATTTAAATTAATTTTACTTGATATATTTGCAGCATTAATAATTTCATTATTAGTATCGATTTTTATAGAGTCTAATAAATCATTTTCACTTATAATTACCATTGAGGGCCGGAATAGTTTATTTTATTTCTTAAAATTTGCTGGTGATACTTCAATGTTGTACACTCACGGTTTTTGTTTTCATTATCAGTGGCGTGTTGTGTATTATATTTTCTATTCAACCAATCACAATTTTTACAAAAAAAAATTTATTTCATGCACATTTTTCTTCATGTTCTTCAGAACATATAGGACACACTATTTTATTTTGACAGTTAATTTTTTTATTGTAGTATTCTTGGCAGTTGAAACATTTTGGTATATTTATGTCTTCATAAACCATGTACCTTTCCCATCCTAGACATACTTTCTTCATATTTATTATTTTGTGAAATGCTGTCGGTGAGCACTCACAGAAAACTGTTTGGGAGTTATTTTTATTTCTTTTTATTCGCTCCGTGCGCGACACCAGCGCCAATTCGATTTAATATTAATGGACTATTTCTGCGTATACTGACAAATACAATTTTTAATAGAATTCGTAATTAAAAAGTATATATGTTAGTTTTAATAAAAGTATATGGATTTGTAAAACATTAATTTGTTATAATTATATATTTTTATCGCTTAAATTAAAGAAAATTATGTATAATCAATAAAAATCAATAATAAAATATAGGCAGGCAACAGTATTTACTGAAAAATGTATGAAAAGTTGCCTAAGTCTAATAAGTTGTCATTGAAGAATTAGCCTATTCTGTCAAAATAAAAAAAATACCATTTAATAATAGCGTGAAGTTAAAATGTATAAAAAAAGGATCGTTGTTGATATTTTCATTTTTGTTCGAAAGAAAACATAGAATGAATGATTAAAACTGATTTCCCATCAGTAAGTCACAAAATTGCGTTCCAGCCACATACAATAAAGGCAGAAATTTGAAATCTAGTCCTTGCTGAATGAACATTTAATAATAAAGGGATATTAAAGAACATCGTAAAATGATAATTTGTTTATTTAAAACCTTTCAAGTTTCTGATGTCTACTATTTCCAGCATTACTGTTATTATTACAAAAATAAAGGTATTTTTTCTTCTTATTGTACACCTATCCATTTAATTCTTTGATTTAATTTCCACTTTGCTACTGAAATTTTTTATATAAGTTTCACTATTTTTTTTTTTGCTAGTATTTGTACAATTTCAACACAGCAACTCCGGTTGCTTATTGTATTGTTTTTACCTACTTTTTTGAAAAAAAGTAAAATGTATACCTGTATTTGATATGCCAAAATTACAAAATATCGCCCTAAAATGCACGAATTATCCGCAGCTAGCGATAGTGTCGCTTTTGCTTCCCTTTCCATGACTTCGCATGGAGCGAATAAATGTCACTTTGATTTCATCAATTATGTGGTTTTGTTCTCTCAAGTAGTTTTCAATTTCCATTTCAGTATATTCTTGAGTAACATTAACAATTTTTATTTTTGGTTTTTTTAATTTGCTTACTTCGATGTCATAGTCATCATTTAAGTGCATCCTCTAATGCTTGTCTTAGGACGTCCAGTTTATTTTTATTTTGACTGTTAATAAATGTCGTATTATGTTGTTGTTTTCATGTTGGTAATACCAATCTTAAGTTTAGCTGGATTAATCTTATCATCTATATCTTTTTTTTGGTTTGGATAGGTGGTTGTTGTTGTCATTTTGATATGTTACTTAAACAACCGTACTAAATGATCACTGCTTTGGAAATAGGTGTTCATAGAAAATTATTTCTGGTATGTAGCTTTGCCACCAAACAAAATATGTTAAACTGAAATCATGTTTTCTGGAGATACTGGGGCCTTTCATAGGATGGCAATACAGTAATCAAGATTTTCGACAGATCTTTATCTTTTGGGGGGTCCCCTGGATCCGTTTTGACCAGATTCTCATGTCTCATAATATGAAGACTAGAGAGAAGGAGGCGAATCGGCAATGGTCAAATTTCAAATTTCTGTCCTTCTTTTTATAAAGTTCACGAAATTGACAGTAGTTGGCGTGTCAAATAACAGCGGTATCAATTTCCTATGTAAGTCAATGTAAAATGAAGTGATTGGTGAAAAGAATCAAAATAATATAAAAAAAATACCTGAGTACAAGTAACATGAGTGACAAAAAACATCAAAGCAAGATTTACGTCGTTCCAGATTGTAAAACAGGATACAAATCAAATTTAAAACTAAAGAAAATACAAGGAGAAATCAATTCAGTATCTTATGGAGTGTAGTTTATTTTATTACAAGTTTCTATAATATAAAATTTTACAGTCATAGATCCTGACTTACAAACAACAATAATTATACATTAAATTTAACTTACTAGAAAAGAAAATTTATTTTTTATAGTTTTAATGTTAGATAAAGAGTTGCTACTGTTATTTTTTTGTTGAACCCCAATTATTGTGTCATTGTAAATGTTTTTTTTTTATAGGATACTAAACGCTTAGAAGAGTGGCAGCATATATATCGTTCCTAGTGCAGATAAAGTACTTTTTAAAGATGATGCTGTTCTATACTTTTTAGAAGATTACCTATTATCAAATATTATGAAACTATTTTTACTGATGGTGCAAAATAAAAAGGGGAAAGCTGAAATTAAAGGATGAGGTAATACAATGTACATCCCCAAATATCCCTATATACTTGTATTACAACAATAAAAAATCTGTTAACTGTGTTTTATTTTGCTCTTAAAACTATATATAGGTTCAATTCAAAAAAAATGTACCACAAAATTGTACTTATCAAATTTCAGCATTTAACAAACCTTTTCGAATTTGGTCATACCTACCTAATTTGTATTTTATATAGACAAAATTAAATAATTTATCAATTAAAATATGCAAGACATATTTCAAAATAAATACAACAGTATGTTCTGTGCTTTATTTAGCTATAAACAAGTTTATTTTTATTATTTTGACAAAATTATGTATAATTCCCATAATAAGATATGTAGGTATTTTGAACTCTGTAAGCAGTACCAGCACCCATGAGGTTAATTATAAAAGCTCAATTAGTGTGCGTTTTTTTTTGGACTGTATTTTGAGCATGTCGACTCGCCTTCTTATCTCTAGTCTTCATAGACTCATATCATGTCAGTATCAACCGAAACACTATACTATAAGCTTTGCAATATATCGAGGGCCACAACGCAGGACCTCGTAACTAACATTTCCATTAAAAATTATGTTTCATAACAATCTCATTTAAAACATTTCGCTTCATCTACTGTATAGAACAAGTATTACAATTTTTGAACAAAACATGGATAAGTATTAGTACTATTATAGAGTAAAATGGATTGCTATACACTTGTAAATCGTTTTTTTTTATCTCCCAAAAAATGACGATTTTGCGAGGTCCTGTCTTGTGGCCATCGATATGCCGCTAGTGAGCTAGTGTCGATATATTAATTTTAGAATATAATTTTAAGATATTAACTTTAAGGAAAAACGGGTGTAATTAAAAAATATTTAAAAAAAGTAAGGTTATGATTATACTCTTTACCAATGTACCTGTTCTGAAGTATTTAAGGTTCCATTCATAAACGGCAACCTTTCTTTCTTCGTGCAAAATCCATTTTCATATAGACGTTGTCCTAGTATGTAAACATTCTTTTCATTTTGTCCTACATCGTAATAACCGACCAATTTAAGCATCCAGCTTATTAAAAAACATCGATTTGAAGGCTTGAAAATATCTCCTAAATCCTCATCACTCATGCTATTTGCTAAGGGGTACTGATATTGAAGAATACAATTCTTAATATCTTGTAGAACAACAGAACTTTCCATTTTCACATAAAAATTATATTGAAAATTTTGAACTGACAAAAGCAAGTGTATAAACATCAACAACCATAGAAAAATAAAAAGTCAACAACTCTTACCGTCAAAGTCAATGAGCAGTGTTACCAACCAGGCCTGCCGTTTCAGTACAATTGTACTAAATTTAGTACATTTCTCACGTCAAAGTACAAACGTACATTTTAGTCAAATCAGGGACAATTTAGTACAATTTGAAATACTCGTCTTTGTGGCACCATCCATGCATTGAGAGCCTGAATTTTCCGATAATAGGGTAAGTATTGTAAATATTGGCGGTATTTTCCCTAAAGGAAAGGGTTTTTACATAAGGTATATACCTATAACGATCAGAAACCAGTCACCGACTCCAGGATTCTGCGCAAATTATCCACTGCACAAAATTCTGATGTCAGTTACTGGGTTGTGATCGTACAATTTATTTTTATCTACCTTGATTAACAGATAAAACTTGCCTTAAAACTTGATTAAAATAATAAAATTTAAAAGAAAACTCTATATTCATATTAACGTTTTGATATATTCCAGTGATATATTCCAATTCCAATTTTTCAAAGTACATAAGCAACAAAAACAAAACTCCCATTCATCCTACAGTTGACATTTGACATAACAACTGTCAACATACGTGACACTTTTGACAATTGACAGTCCATCTAAAATTTAGTACAATTTAGTACATTTTCCTCGAATTTCCTAGTACATTTCTAAATATCTCCGCGGCAGCCCTGTTACCAACTGTTTTTTTTTTTTTGAGAGATCGTTCAAGTAGTAGCATCGAGCAGTGATGCCATTGCTACCGATTAATCGGTAAATCTACCGATTTTGATATTAATAATCTATACAAATCTACCGATATACCGATTTTTTAGGCAATCTACCGATTTTTCAAATAATCTTTGATTATATTATACAAACATTCACTTAACATTGCATTTTACAAACTTTCTTAAGACCCAACTCAACTTTTTTCTTAGGTTAGAAAACAATTTTTAATTCGAAGTAATACAAGACGTCACTTTAAATTTCTATATCTTAGGTCAACAAATACGTAACACGATGAGTTTAATAAAACGTATTTTCAAATAAGCACGTTTGCAAATTTGCGTCATCTCATCGATAGTACATTTTTAAATCTTAACACAAGTTTCCTGAAATAATTAACGTAAAAATTAAAGAGTGTACTTTACGTTTTAGCTTTTAAATACTATAAAAAATTGAGAAAAGTCCATAACTTTTAAATATTTGTTAAATATGACTTATTAAAATATGCATTAAAAGTAAAACAAACTATATAGACTTTCCACCATTCTTTACCGTACTCTGAACATACACTAGCAATCGGGGATCGGGGAATTACAAGTAACGGAGTTATAAATTGGGGAATTTTAGAAAGAAAAAGATAATTCCTAATTCGATAGTTTTACAGTTTGCAGTTAGAGTTTTCTAATATTAAAATTTTGTAAAAAATTGTGCCTTATTTAAGTTTTTTCTTTTAAAAATATTAATTATATAAGTAATGGGTTTTGTTTTTTATTTTCTACGATTTTTTTTTTAAATGTTAGTTAATATGTGTTTTAGATTTTTTTGTTACTTTTTAGTATTAAAAACTTTGTTTTCTACAAATTTCGTTTGATTTTTGAAATCTACCGTTTTTTGCTGAGATCTACCGATTTTTCTCGATAATTCTACCGATTTTCGGTTGACAGGGCCTGGCAACACTGGCATCGAGATAGATCGAGTATGCAGTATGCCGCGTTTCGCGTTTGAGAATCCACATATGGGGGTCGATTCTCGACTCGTAGAAATTTTTTCCTATAGGAATTTTTGACATTTTTCTATACATAGAAAATTTATGACATTTCCCTACATATAGGAAAGTGTCACAAATTCCTATAGGAAAAGGTTCCTACAAGTCGAGAATCGACCCTCAGGGGTAGTATTCTCGAATCACGAATACCGACATTCGCATACGTGTTTTACATCAGGTCTGTTCTGGTTTTGAGAAATAACGATCCACAACTGTCGGGCTCATGCGCAGTAGATATAAAGTGTTCTGGTTTTTCTGGGACTACTTCGGATCTCTCAGTCCGGTGTTCTGGTTTCGTATCCGAAATAATCCGTGATTGTTGTAAACAGTCAAAAAGTGTTCATGCTTGGGAGTGTGGATCGACTCGGACTGTTTTGACCGCGCATGCGTTTTTGAAGTGTTATGAATATTGCATTGGCTTTTTAGACTATACGAAACGTATACAATCCCAAATTGTTTATTTATATGTGGACGAATGTCTCTTGTTCTTGTTTTATTTGTAAATTAAAGCAATTTTAGAATTATTAATTTTTTAATATTCTGTTTTTATTTATTCCATTGAAATGTGATGATAATGATAAACATATACATGCAAATGTTATTTGAAGCTGAGCTTTCAAAAGGAACTTCATTATTATAATAAACAATAAACAAAACACCTTTATGACGTGTTCTGGTTTTCCAAGAATTTCAAACAGTCGGGGATTTTTTACCTTTACGCATACGGTCCGGCGCAGTTTTAAAACAGTTTTCATTTTGAGAACCAGAACAAACCTAATGTGTCTCACTTTGTTGAACGAAAACCAAGTGAGACAAATCATAAATCTCGCATGCGAATCTATATTCGTGACTCGAGAATAATACTACCCCGGATGCATTTTTTACATCTCGAGGATTTTTTTATCCACATCTGTCCCATTACATTTACGTATACTGAATCACGTGATCAAAGATTTACTACATCTCAGATGCATCCGATGTGGATTCTCAAACGCAGCAATAGAATAATCTGTCTCGTATAGTAGAAAAATGGTATATTAGCCAGCGGCGGCGCGTGGTTCAATACTCTGGGGGTGCACAACGTAAGATACAAAAAAAATTGGGTGCCACACAACCACGTCCAAAAATATTCTTTAAGCGCTATCAAACCGTCAATCTGGGTTAGCAAATTAAAGGATCTTATTAAAAAATTAAAAATTAATAACTTACCCTGCTGTCTCTGATGAATACTTCGGCCTTGCCAAAACAATTGTCTTTATAGATATAGGAATAATAGTTTTTATACTTCACAAACACGTTTTGAATTGAAAATCAAGACGTCTGTCCTTTTTCGAGATAAATGCATCAATAACTAATTCATTAAAATTTGGGATCTCTTGAATAATTTGTTTCTCAATAGATAACATTGCGAGGGCAGTTAACCTATTTTCACCCATTGTACTTCTAAGAAAAGTTTTTATTCGTTTTAATGTGGAGAAACAACGTTCCGCTTCTGCGGTTGTCATGGGCATCGTAACAATTGCTTGTAGCACTAAAAACGTCTCTGAAAAATCTACTTGCAAATTATTTTCAATTAAAAATTTAAGTAGGTGGACTGCTCCTGAAACTTCTCTAAAATCTGATCTTCTGTATATTATTTCCAGTTCTGTCTTCAATTTATGCTTGTTCAAAAAAGGAAAATTCATAATCGCTGAATTTAGGTTTAGTATGGGAAAATTCGTTGAAAATGTATCAAAATTATCAACTGAAAATAAGTGCGCTATTTCCAGATGGCCAGTGAATGAAAATCTTCTTTTGATTTCTGCAATTATAGTGTCACATACCTCCTTGGCTTGCACCACCGTAGAAACATAAGAATGTCTATCTTCTGTCTTTCTTCTTTTCCTAGCTTGATTGTCATCAATGTTTGCTAACTCAGTTTCTTTAATAGTATGTATATTATCTCGTTCTTTCTGAATATTTTGCTCAAACTCAGTAATGCATCTTTTTACGGTTACTGAATCAGTAGCTCTTTTTTGCAGCTGTGAATATAAAATGTTGACGTGGGGCATTATACGATGAAAAACTGACAACCAAAAAATAAACTTAGGATCATGCAATAATCTTAAAAGTGCGCCTGCCTTCGTGATGGTATCATATTGTCTGGATGTAGATTGTATTTTTTCCATACACGCTATAAGGGACTCCCGGTTTTCATATACTGTATTAACGGTTCTAATTTTGAAGTTCCACCTGGTAGCAGATGCTCTTGGAACTCTATTTCCAACCACTTCATCCAATATGGCAACTCTTTGTGGAGAGTTGGAAAAAAAATTGGTAATGTCACTCAGTTCGGCAAAAAAAATACGTGCATTCGTATTTATGCTTGTTGCCTGAGACATTATCAAGTTTAATTGGTGAGCATAGCAAAGAATATAATGGGCGTATTTAAATTTATCTTTAATAAGTTTTTGTACACCACCATGAGCGCCACTCATGACGCTTGCTCCGTCATAACTTTGGGAAATCAACTGATCAGGATTTCTTAAAACATAATTTAACGCTTCTTCTATGCAGCGAGCTAAAGCAACAGCATCATGTTCATTCGGTTTTACAAAAGTCCAAAATCGTTCAACGGGGCTGCCGTTCGGTAAAGTATAACGGTAAACTATAACCATTTGGAAAATATTGGAAATATCACTTGTTTCGTCACTCATAATGGACACAAATTTCGAGGCGGCAATTTCTTTTTTGATATGTGCCTGACACACGAAAAGAATACATTCCAATAAATCGTTTTGAATGTCTTTTGATGTACCTTTAAACACAGTAGCTTGCTGCAAATGATCCCTCAGTGCTAAATCCAGTTCGGCAGAAAAATTTATAAGTCCTCTAAATATACCAGGGTTCACAGAATCTTCTTGTTCATCATGTCCACGGAGAGCAAGCTCAAAAGCACCACAAAATTTTATACAGTTTATAATTTTAGATAAAACATACCTATTTTTCTTTACTTGGTCATTATGTTTTTGAATGCTTGATCGATATGCACTATTTAATTGTTGTCGAATATCTTGTTTACCTAATAAATTATATCCTAATTTAGCAGATAAATGTGACTTTGAATTTTGATGTTTTTTAATTTTTTCGGATAAATGTATTAAATCTCTAACGCCAGATTTTGTCCATTCTGATGCCTCGTCGCTTCCAAATAATAAACAAGGAAAGCAGTAAAGACTGTTACTCACATCACACCCGCACAACCAGTCAGTTTTTTCATAAGTATCTGTTTTAAAAGT